GCATTCTCGATGCCACCGGGGTGGGCTGCACTGGTGACCATGAGGTGGGATGATAAGCTATCCTGCCGATACCTCCTGTCATGTTCAAATCCCTCTGAGAGGCAAAGGGGTGGTGGAGCTACAGGCCTGGTTTTCCATGCCAATTCGGACATTTATTTTCTATCCCTGTGACCCCAGGTAGATTACTCAATATCTTGGGCTTCAGTAGCTTCCTCTGTGCCAATAGAAATAATTATTGCTCAGAGTTGTTACAAGGATTAGGGAAAATAAGGGAGCCTTGTACATAATAGGCATTTGATGTTAGTTATTGTTTTAGCCCTTGGACAGCTCTGAGACAGGACGCATGCCCATTTCGCAGATGAGCTAGCAGAGGCATGCTGAAGGTCACACAGACTCACAACTGGTCAAGGTAGACTTAAACCCTCAGACTGTAAGTCCACAACAGGTCATAGACTGAGGAGATGAGATACTATGAGACAATGGAAGACAATGCCAGCTCATAACAGATCCCCTCCCTTCCTCTCCCCAGGGGGTACACTATAGCCATCTGGAGCTGAGCCCTGGGGAGCCAGTGCAGGAGGGGGACCTTCGTTTCCGAAGTGCCCTGACAGCCCACCCTGTGCGTGACCCTGTGCACATGTACCAGCTGCACAAGGCTTTCGCCCGAGCTGAACTGGAACGCACATACCAGGAGATCCAGGAGTTACAGGTATGGTCTAGGTCTGGGGATGGCGGAGTGAGGGGCACAGGATCTGAGAGGTCACAGAGATCCCAGAGAAATGAAAAGTTAGCACTAGAATCACAGAACAAAACTACTTCCCAGCCCCTGCCTGTTTCTACGTTCTCTGATGAGCCTCCGGGCTCTTAGGCTGTCTATGCTGGGGAAATGATAGGTAAGGACCCTGGGTGGGCAGGGGACTAGTGACCCATCCTGAGTGGCACCTGCTGCCTACCCAGTCCCCCAGCTGTGTGCTGCTCCTCTGGTCTGCCCCTTACTCATGGCCTGTTTCTCTGATCCAGTGGGAGATCCAGAATACCAGCCGTCTGGCCGTTGATGGTGACCGGGCAGCTGCCTGGCCTGTGGGCATTCCAGCACCATCCCGCCCGGCCTCCCGCTTTGAGGTGCTGCGCTGGGACTATTTCACGGAGCAGCACGCTTTCTCCTGCGCCGATGGCTCACCCCGCTGCCCACTGCGTGGGGCTGATCGGGCTGATGTGGCTGATGTTCTGGGGACAGCTCTAGAGGAGCTCAACCGCCGCTACCACCCGGCCTTGCGGCTCCAGAAGCAGCAACTGGTGAATGGCTACCGACGCTTTGATCCAGCCCGGGGTATGGAATACACACTGGACTTGCAACTGGAGGCACTGACCCCCCAGGGAGGCCGCCGGCCCCTCACTCGCCGAGTACAGCTGCTCCGGCCGCTGAGCCGCGTGGAGATCTTGCCTGTGCCCTATGTCACTGAGGCCTCACGTCTCACTGTGCTCCTGCCTCTAGCTGCGGCTGAGCGTGACCTGGCCCCTGGCTTCCTGGAGGCCTTTGCCACTGCAGCACTGGAGCCTGGTGATGCTGCGGCAGCCCTGACCCTGCTGCTACTGTATGAGCCGCGCCAGGCCCAGCGCGCAGCCCACGCAGATGTCTTCGCACCTGTCAAGGCCCACGTGGCAGAGCTGGAGCGGCGTTTCCCCGGCGCCCGGGTGCCATGGCTCAGTGTTCAGACAGCCGCACCCTCACCACTGCGCCTCATGGATCTACTCTCCAAGAAGCACCCACTGGACACACTGTTCCTGCTGGCCGGGCCAGACACGGTGCTCACGCCTGACTTCCTGAACCGCTGCCGCATGCATGCCATCTCCGGCTGGCAGGCCTTCTTTCCCATGCACTTCCAAGCCTTCCACCCAGCTGTGGCCCCACCACAAGGGCCTGGGCCCCCAGAGCTGGGCCGTGACACTGGCCGCTTTGATCGCCAGGCAGCCAGCGAGGCCTGCTTCTACAACTCCGACTACGTGGCAGCCCGTGGTCGCCTGGCGGCAGCCTCAGAACAAGAAGAGGAGCTGCTGGAGAGCCTGGACGTGTACGAGCTGTTCCTCCACTTCTCCAGTCTGCATGTGCTGCGGGCAGTGGAGCCGGCGCTGCTGCAGCGCTACCGGGCCCAGACATGCAGCGCGAGGCTCAGTGAGGACCTATACCACCGCTGCCGCCAGAGTGTGCTTGAGGGCCTCGGATCCCGAACCCAGCTGGCCATGCTACTCTTTGAGCAGGAGCAGGGCAACAGCACCTGACCCCACCTGTCCCCATGGGCCATGGCATGGCCACACCCCACCCCACTCCTCCCCCAAAACCAGAGCCACCTGCCAGCCTCGCTGGGCAGGGCTGGCCATAGCCAGACCCCAAGCTGGCCCGCTGGTCCCCTCTCTGGCTTTGTGGGTCCCTGGGCTCTGGACAAGCACTGGGGGAGGTGCCCCCAGAGCCACCCACTTCTTGCCCCAAACCCAGTTTCCTTGCCCCCTGACGCTGCTGATTTGGGCTGTGGCCTCCACATATTTATGCAGTACAGTCTGCCTGACGCCAGCCCTGCCTCTGGGCCCTGGGGGCTGGGCTGTAGAAGAGTTGTTAGGGAAGCAGGGAGCTGAGGAGGGGCATCTCCCAACTTCTCCCTTTTGGACCCTGCTGAAGCTCCCTGCCTTTAATAAACTGGCCAAGTGTGGACTCGTGATTCAGAGGTTTTGAAAGGGTAGACGGGCGTGGGGGAGGGAGAACTGGCTAAGCACACAGGCTCCCCTGCCCCTGCTGGGGCCTGCCTTTCCTTTCACCCGGGACCAAGTCATGCATGTGCCCAGCCTCACCCCAGCCCCCAGTGCGTGCTTGGTCACACATACACACAGAGAATTCTTTATGCCTCTTTATTCCCAATCTCATCAGCACTTTACAAAATCAGACTGGAGGGAGAGAGGCCTGAGAAGGCTCCCTTCCCACCCTCCAAGCTCAGCCGAAGTCTGGAAGGTCTCCTGCCCCCTCCCTATAGAAGGGACTCTAGGGGTGGGGCTGGTGCAGGGGGAACTGGGAGCTGGGCCAGGCCTGCTGGGCCATCCTCTCCCCCTGCCAAGAGGGGAGCTGGGCCTGGAGAGGGGCAGGAAGCAGGACCAGCCCAGCACTCCTGAGTCCTGGGGCTCTCCCTTTCCTGCTGACATTAGGGCTGGGACCCTGGCTGTCCCTAAATCACCCACCCGTGTAGCCCTACCCACCTTCTACATCTGTATCCCCCCACCCGGCTTTCCCTAAATATATACAAATGTACAGAGGGCTCCCCCTCCCCAGCTGGGATGAGCTCTATCCTCCCCTCCCTCTCTCCTTCCTGCCCTTCCTCTCCATGAGGGCCCATGGCCTGGTTTCCAGCCCTCCCGGGGCACCAGCCTGGGAGTAAGGGGTGTGGACAAGAAGGACCTTTGTGCAAAGCAGCTGACATCAGGGCAGGGGAGGATAAGAGCAGGAACTGAGTCCTGGCCCTCCCAGTGAGCACCGCCCCCAGGCCTTTCCCAGGAGCAGGAGGAGAATGTGCTGGGGATCCCAGGAGGGGTCTCAGACTCCTGGATCCTTTCAGTCACAGCACCATCCTAGCAAGCGAAATCTTCAAAGAGACCTCCTGGGGGACCGTGGGGGTGGTGATGGTTGGGGAGCAGGCTGCTGGCCCCCCCACCCTCGGCATGGCCCCGGCTCGGGCAAGGACTCTGCAGGAGAAAGAAAACAGGGAGTGGGCTAGGGAGAACTCGTGGGGGCAGGGACTCTGCCGAGAAAGAGTGGGACAGGGAGAGGTCAAGTGCTGTCCCCAGGGCTCACACCGCCAGCCTTTCCTTGTCACCTTGGGCAGAGGCTCCAGGGCCCACTCCACAGGCTGGTTCAGAAACCATGGGGGTGTCAGTCCTGGGGAGGTGTGGCTGCATGCTCTGTAGAGCTCATCCTCACCTGTTCCTTCAGCTCCTGAAGCCCCAAAGTGGAGATGCCCCCAGTGGAGGTCCGCAGGGGGGTCTTGGGACGCCTCCATACCCGCTTCAGTCGATCCCAGGACACCTTGGGGTTCAGGGTGGGGGACAGCAGTGGGCTCAGGAAATTGGTTGAGGAGAAACGTGAGCCTTACCATGCCCAGCTGCCCACAGGACTCACTGCCACAGCAAACTCCCAGTAGGACACCCTGTCCTCCTCACCTATCCCCTTCTCCTGACTCTGAGCCCTCAGGCCTGCCAGCCAGTCAGGGGACCCTGGCAGAGAACCCTGAACCTGACTTCCCAGCCAGGCCAGCTCCACCAGGCACCCCGCACTGCCCCCTTCTGCTTTGCCCATGGCCGCCACTCCCACCCTGCCTTCCCGGGGCCCTTGCCTCATAGATGTAGTCAAGGATCTCCAGCAACGTGAGGATGCTGGCCCCAATGAACAAGCCCATCTGTCCCCCGAGGTCTCCTGGGAAGCAGGAGAGCAGTGTCAGAGGGAGCGGCCGGGTCGATCCACCCACACACAAGCTGAGGGGGACACCAGTCTCACCCAGCAGGGCTGACAGGCCATAGGCTGCTCGCTGCTCTATGGCTTCAGAGGTCAGGGCCTCAAAGAAGACGTCTAGGACCAGGAAGTTCTCCCTGTGGAGACAGGAAGCAGGGTATCCGTGTGGGCCTCGCTTCCTGAGAAGGCTGGCAGGGGCATCCTGGATCCAGCATATCTTGATCAGAGACCTCTGCATGGGGAAGTCAGTGACCACCCCCTGGACTCCCCAAGGCTGTGAGGGGAGGCAGT